CAGATTATCGTTCGACAAAACAAGCATGACAACATCGTAAGCAATTCGAACTGTGACATTCGTGTTCCCTAGATTATCTGCTGATACAGCCTTTGAAAATTAGGAACAGGAGAGGAAACAATCGAACATTAGCGGAGATCAACGAATACTTTCCATGGCACAGTCTTCTTTCCATTAATTTTGACATAGGTCTCTGAACAATGACATGATTTCTTAGTCCTCATTATTAGCTATTCGTTACATACTCCAGTAGTACAATTCCTTCGAGGTACTTAGTTGTAAGCGCTATCAAGTTTGTGAAGCAGTCTCAAACTTCATTTGTATATTCTTAGCATTTCTCGTAGATTGACGATTAACGCTCTTTGAAATTTCATTTTTTTCTATTCAGCCTTTGTATTGACTAGTTTTTTTTCGCAATGGTATTGATGTTTTCCCATTTGTGATTGATGGCTAGGTAAATCAGAAAGTATGCAGTTGCTCTGTAATCCTCCACATAAGTCTAGCCAGAGTTGCAAGAGCAATTACATCTCCCTAATATTCTGACTTTCCATCGACGTTCAGTGTAATATATTTCATGGACCAGTCTAGTGCTAAAGCAACGGATGCACTTATGCTAATAGCAGCAATCGTTGTACAAGCTAATAAACTTGACTTGACGAAATATATCGTGATAACGTTTGAGATAGTGAATAATGACAGAAAAATTAGTTTTGTAACAGGATAACCGAATTGATTGCTGTGCGCTATTCGATTATTATTTTATTCTACCCGGCTAGTACCGTACTAAGTCCTGAAAATCAAGTTCGCATGACAATTTTTGTTCACGTTTCTTACTGAATTTTTCCGTAAATGCACTTAATTACACAGATCACTTACATTTGGAACCACACTCGGCCCATCGCCGAAATAGATAGACTGGCGCATAAGTTCAGCATGTACCGAAAAGAACTCTAAAATTATAAAATTCAAAACCCTTTTCATCCACGCTGACAGAATGCATGAACTGAAATAATCGCGTGGACCTGAACAGCATCTGGACGTCAACGGTCAATAAAGCGCTGTTGATACTAATCACCCATTATTGACCATACTTCACCACGCAACACTGATTGTGTCGCTGAACTCTGACCCGACCGACTGTAGCTCAAAATGTCGGTGATAAAGTGTATAATCGGAGCAAATCCATAAGAAGCACGAAGCCCATGGAATTAATCTCCCGTATAATGCAAGAATGCTCAGTTTTTAAGTTACACGATTTTCTAATAAATCGCATTTCAGCACTGCTACATAGGTAAATTATTCTCTTTATCGTGATAGGAAATGCAACTTATTTTCTCGCTGAAAATTAGTCACTTTGGTTTTATGGCAATAATAAAATTAGCTAACAACTTAAGTTGCTCATTTGCAATAGTACTTACCAATAATGATGTACTTGGTTCCTGTAGAGGTTTCGAGCTTTCAGTATTTTGGACTCTGTAGCTACTAGATTCAACAAGAAGCTGTTCAGTTGTTCATCACTGCAGGCTTCAGCAAGTTTCTGAATGGCAGTTGCATATTCAGCAGACATGGATGTTGGAGGCATGCCAGGAATCTTGGCAGCGGAAAAAAGACGTTCGGTTTCAGGGTCGATTATGTTGCTAATGCATTTCACCATCTGTTTAACACAAGTACTTAGGTTTTCGATTTTAGATAGCATCATTAGTAATTCCGACGGATATTCTGTGTGCTCGCTGGTGCCGCCGAAAAGAATTTTTTCTTTTATCCATTGTTTCACTTGATCCAATGGCATGATGGCAGCGAAGGTAAAGTGACTGACGGTCTGGAACCCGCTTTACCTTAGTTGAATATTAAAAAAACAACCGCGCAGTAATGTTAAAACAAGATATAATGAGCAGTTTTAGATTTCTTCAACAGATGTTTTAATTTTCAGATTTGTAACCTAACCGTTTGTAAAAACATGCGCTGTAAACGTTTTCATGTTGTTGTTTTGTCATTCAGCAGAGTGACTCAGATTTATGATGTCTGACCTTAAGAAATGGTATCTCGAATTGATATCAAAGTTCACTGCAGCGGCAGAGGTCATATTCCGTTTCTGAAGCATATTTGCCTAAATAAATGTTTCTACTCTTTCTATCATACTCCAACGCCTCTGCGACCAGTTGCCACGGTTTTCAAGCAAGAAACGTTTTGAATATACAATGAATCTCTCCTCGCCATTTTATCAAACCAAGCCAGACGCTGATCTCTGAGTTCATCTGACAGTTTGCTCAGTTTCTATAACCTAAAGTAAGCGCGAATATCTCAGAGAGTGGCAAAGGAGAAAACACAATGCTTTGAGGGAAGTTGCAGCTATACAAGTACAGATGGGCTGCTGTGGTAGATATCAAGGTTAGTTATGAACGTAGAATAGTCGACTATTCAGAATAGTTAATATCTTAACTTGTAAAGGGTCAGGATGACGAGTTCTCATATCTTTAAAGAATATCTGATGAGAAGACCCTCAGACTATTAACGCCTAACACAAGATTTCAAGTATAGAAGGAACAACATTCTTGAAACCTAATTTCACGACAACAGATAGAATGGCAGAAAATTGCACGTAACTTCGTCAAACTCCTAACCATTGACCATTGTTGTCAAAAAAACATCTAAGCATGCAATAAACTGTGTTTAAGGAAACCTAACGGGAAAGCATCCTCACTATAAACAAATGCGACAGGAGTCATTTCTCACATTAACCCAGAGGAAATCATACCAACATTCCATCCCTCCTCGGTATGGAGACGGAGAGACGGAAATTTGGTACTAGAAATACACAAATACGTCGTATGGACGACGCTGAGAGTGGAAATGAGCCCACACAATGCACATTTCATCAAAACAAAAAGAATCGGTATATCGTACATTTTTTGCATTCATTCCCTGTGCTCATCTGCACCGATTTTTAATTATGCACAGAGGCTGCAAAACGGGCGCCTCAAAGTGCACGGCATGGCCGTAATTTCGAATGTTCTAAAACGACACATTGAAGAACAATATTGTCCCTATCGTTTAGAGATCTACTGTTTGCCACGTGCGTTTCATTCGATGTCATTGAAATTACAGTGGCATTAATTCATTGTGCAAAGAAATCAGCAGATAAAAAAGATTCTTCTCCAAGCTGAGACTTAAACATTGCACTTTCAAAGTGTAAAACGAAACTACAGTCCACTGCTCTCAAAAACGTCGTCATGCTCATAGTGTTTATTACTGTTGTCTAAAGTTAAACACGTGAACATACTATGATTATGTTGATTCATTACAAAACAACAATGACAGATTTTACACAATCTGTAATTTTTCAGCCGGACTTCTATTATCAAACACGGGCAACTTGCTTTCTGATGCCAACTGCTCCATCTTGATCACCCAAGACCACTTGCTGCCGAGACCAGTAAGCAGAGTCTCCGTGAGGTCAATCGTGATACCGCGGGGGCTCAGGATCTCGTACTTCAGTTTCGTTCCCGAGCCAAGCATCGATACCCTAGTATTCTCGGTAGCTTTCGGTGCTCCAAGCTTTAGCAAATTTCCTTCAGGCCATTTCAGCATAAATGCGTAGATTATCGTATTTTCGCTATCCTGGGGATTATACAGCCGATTTGAAGACTTGCCCTTTTGATTCTTCAAAATTGAAGTGTACCTAAGGTTAGCATAGTTAAAGACGGAATCTTAAAAGAGAACAGAAAGAATGGTCAACGCTTCATGCTAAAAGAGATAACTAAAATGAATTGAAAATAAGTACCGCTCACCATTACGTTATGATTCAAATGGAATAATATAAAGATTTAAACTATAATGTTTAAATTTTTGGATTACCCTTTACAATCATGAGCTGGATACGAATATGGCATTGAACCTGTTTGAAGTTCATTGTACTCCAGAATTTTTTGCCTTAATATATTGTAAGGGATTACTGTTTGGTAAACGGTAAGGAATGCGGACCAAAAAATTGTGTGAAGTGGTGAAAAGCTGAGAGTACCACCGAAATATCGATTATTTCCCTAACAGTGAAACGAATAGCAACTAATTTAATACATATAAAATCTCACATGGTATCGTTTTGAGCAACGCCTTACCATATGTTTGGAGTAACGGTGTCGTTTTGGAAAATCCAAGGCTTTGAACCGTAGACTGCTTCGCCATTTACTGCAAGCCACTGTCCCATTTGCGTCAGTCGTTCTTCAAATATGGGGATGATTCGTCCGTCATGAGTTGGACCAACGTTCATCAAAAGGTTGCCGCCGCAGCTAAAGACAACCATAAATGGTAGTTATAATATTAATACCTTATTATAAAAAACTTTCCCACAGAATTTTATATCTTACATGGCTGGAACAATTTTGAACTATAGTAAAACGCCTGAACCGGGAGAACTGTTTTTACTGTGGTAGAAAAGAACGATTAGTTCTGGAGTAGTAGCTGTTCTTCTGATATTTCAAAAAAAAAACTTCCGGGAGATTTAGACATTTTTATTTGTTCTGATTCAGGTAGAAAGTCACCACTGTTGAATCCAAAGATTGATTTGAAAAGATCAGGAGCTCAGAAGTATGCACAAAAACCATCATTGCAAAACATGTGTGTATTATGAACTAATCACGTAAGTTTCTTCCCATCAGTTTACGTAATTTTTGTTCTTTCCGACGTGATTTACTCAGAAACACTTCTTTACTTTGCCTCCGTGCTGACACTGCTGCTTATATTATACTGTAAGCGAAACTGCGGTTCTTTACTATGCTGTGCAGCTCAACCAATGGATCCTTGTCAGCCGCTACGCTGAGTGCTAACATAAACGGCGATTGCAAAATACAGCACACTGAAAAACCATATCATGCAATGGTATGCGAGGAGCACTGTCCGTATGAAAGTTAACTAGAGAAAGAGAACGGTCTTGGAGGCTCTTGCAGCAGAATAAACAAAAGTTAAACTGAACAGACAGGAAGAGTTACACTATTAATTACTAACTATCACTGCCACTACTAACTAACTAATTACTATCAACTAACATTTGCTAATAAACGTATGTACCTCTCAGCTGTACCTATCGATACAAGCTAATGCTTTTCACTTGCATCTTTATCGCAACGATAGTTCCCAGTAATAGAAACGACTGCGGTTTCAAATTAAAGTGAATTATCCTAACGGTTGGAGGAAAAGGTCAACTATACAAAGTCTGTACTATTCCACTGATGGCCTGCAAATATGATATACAATATGACTGTAATTTTGTTTCTTGATTCAAAATAGTCGCACCTCTCTACGAATCGAAACTAAATTATTCTAACGATAAAATTAAAATATCTGAAATCTAAATATAACTAGTATTTATAAACTTTACTTAAATCGAATGCTCACAGAACATGAAAAATTTTTAAGAAAAATTCTAAGAAAACACCTACTACGTTTGAAAAATGATTCTATAGAAGAGCGGTCTTCTTTTTGTGCA